CGCGGCGTGCGCGCGAGGCCAGTCCTATAAAACCGTAAACGTCGATTACGCAATGATGTAATATAATAATGGATATTGTCTCGGCAATGGAGATTCCGACAGATAGAGTTTCTTATTGCTTCGGTGAAACACGCTCACAATTGATACTCGGCCGGAGACGTATGTCAGTCATGCTACATATACTTTGATTTCTGCGCTCTTTTTTCTGGCTGCGCGGGCGCATGCGCGCGTGCTCCTATTCGTGGGAGATACATGGTGGAACCAATTTACTTTTTGCCGGTGTATAATGAAACCGCTGATGGTTATGTTTGGTAATAATTGGGTAACAAAAGTGAGCGTAGTAAAAATGGAAATTGGGGCTACAAGGTAGTAGGATAATGCAGCAATTAAAGTAAGGTAACAGTAACGTGTATTTTTATTACGCATTATGCAACCTTGTGCTTCTGGTTAATTCTAGCTGACGGGACATCGTCCTGAATATCGTCTGCAATTCCAAACTCGGCTCATCCCGTGTTTATTTCAAGCCACTTTAACACGACTTTAAAATTTCGTTCGCGTATATTTCGAAGATGTTGTAAAAATTATAATTATACCTACTACAGAGTTACTATAATGTCAGAAGTCAATTAGACAAAATGGCGTGCCCTTTGGAAGAGCGAACTGTTCTTAAGATTCGTGGGTTATTTAAGAAGTAAAAAGGTAATCAATAGAAGAAGAAGATCGCAGTTTGTTGAGATCTCATAAAGATATGCTTATTCATCCTAATGGTAGGTTGTCGACGTGGACACGCCTCTATCAAAGTCGTCGGTATCTACAAAGAGGCTCTTCGAGATTTTCTTTCCGTTCCCACCATTCTGCGGCTGACGAGCAATTCTCCCCCTTGTCCCTCCCCTTCGTTCCACTCTGCGTTCGTGAAACGAAGAGGACAGGCTATCAGTAGCAGTAGTAGCAGCCGGGGCTGGGGCACCTCTAATATTTCACGGAAGCCAACTACGCGGTTTGTCGATGTTATCGCGTTCGCGATGCCGAAGGAGCCGATTTTAACCGATACCTTTTTGTTACACCTCAGCTTCGCATTAAAATAAATATCTTCCAATGGAATAGAGCGAGAAAGTTGGAGACAGAGGGATGCTGGAGTAAGCAAAAGGAGGAGGGAAAGGGGGAGATCAACGACCAAGCGGTGGGAGATCATGAACGAGGAGGAAATAGCAGAAGAAGGGAAGGAGAGGGCAAAAAAGGAGAAAAATGCCCGGGAGGGAAAAAGGAAGAGGAAGAGACGAAGAAGAAAAGTGGCGAACCGGCTGGCCGCAACGAACTTGAAGTAAACCAAACCTACCGGTCCTACCGCTCGCGCTACCACTACCACCTACCGAACTATTACCTACAGCAGGTCTATATCTGGACTCTGCCTCGTCTCCCTTATCCGATGCATCGCATCGTGTGCCAGAATAGTGAAATCACCTACGTTCTATACCTTTCACGAGACCATGTGGGTGTTCCGTACTCATCGCGATGCTCATTCAGTCGAAACTCGATTCCTTTCGGGATCGAAGCATGGCCACTACGATCCTCGTTCTCCTCTTACAGAACGATTAAGTTCTAATTTCTCTATCATGAATTAAGGACTTAGGAAGAAAGAATCTAGAAATAGATTCCAACAATGAGCTGCCTCCGGTTGAGCTGTCTAAAATAAGGGATCGGTATTATTTGAGAAAATAAGCATGAGTGCGTCTGAATGCAGGCAAAGGCCCAAAGGAGGCAACTTCCTGGCCCCGAACAATGGAGACCCGCGTTAAGCATAGTTGGGCCTTGATCTGTTAGCTCTAGACATCTCCGAGACTGTCCGATGCTGGATCCAGTTTTTGTCGAAGCTTGACTGCTCGTAGAAGGTGGAACTAACCGTCGCCTCAACCTGTTCCAATTCTACTCTAAATCGAAGCTCCGTGTATTATCATATCTATGTTCTTGTAATTCTGATATCGACGAGCCCGCTTATCGCGCAGCTTCGATACACGCAGTCTATCGACACGGTTCTTATTCCCAGATTACCTCTTTGATCCGCGTGTAAATCGAAGATGCAATTGAGCGCAGCTTTTTCCGAGGGCCGCGTGACGACGTAGCTGCCTACTACCGCTCTAATTAATACATGATCCTCATTCGCGGTGTTATATAAATCGCGCACGAACACGGGAATATGAAAGGCAGGAAGAGCGAATAAAAAGGACGAAAAAGAGAGAAAAAAGGTGAGAGCAGAAAGAAGTATGGCATGAAAAGGAGAGAGGAACGTGTGTCGCCGTGAGCGCGCTTTTGCGTGAATCAATCGATTAAAATCGTCGACGTGCCAACAGCTGACATAATCCGGCACGTATGGGTCAGCCGATTAGAAATCCGTAAGTGTCGCCTTAATTGACGCGATTACATTTACGAGCCCCGCGTCAACATGACCGCTCTTAAATGAACGTGACACACGCCAGCCAGGTGTGTGTTTTCCAACTCGAGAACGCAAGCAGAATTACGCGTTCCACGTTCGACCGACAGAGAGTTCCGGAACGATTGGCTACGTGCTTTTTGCGCTTTGTTGATCGACCATTCGGAGAATATGTAGTTAGAGGAATTTGTAGGTTGTGTAGTAGTTATGGATGAACAACTAATGCTCTTAGTCGAAGTTGAACGTTTCTTTTTATAGCCACGCCGGAGATAAGGATGCGACGAGGAATTCGATTGGAATTCGCTTTTTGTGAGGCACTTCTATGTTAGATCCATTTGTTTATCATTCGAGAGACTCGAGGGACTCGAGGAATTAGGTTCGACAAGAGTCTATTTAGTAACGTGTAGTCTTTGCGGCTGTAGAGAACGTTGCGGTTAATTTAAGAACGATATTGAATGATAATTGAGAAATTAACATATCTGTCGTCCCGTTGGTATGTCGTCGCGTGTTATACTTGAATAGTGGCTCTTGTGATAATTTCCTTGTGATGAGTTTCCCGATCGTTGCCTATATAAGTTATTCAGTGCATGTATATTTATGCAATCCTTCGTTTTATAATGCTGTTAAATATGTATCTTTTATAACTTATTTATCTTATGCGAATGAAATACGTACTAATTCCTCGACTGTTGTAACAAATATTATTAACTTTAGGAAGAAGGAATTTGTCGAAGTAACTCGTTATCGATCGAAAAATCGACTCCAAATCATCGTGGTCTCATCGACAGATTTTTTTCTTTTTTTCTCCTTATTTAACGATTACTCCATGAAAATCCAATATGAAGATAAAAAAGAAATCAAATAAAACAAGGATCGTCTTATCATTGTCTTGCAGGTGGCTGTCAGAAGTTCAGGCTGAAAGCGCGAAGAGTATCGATTGGCAGCAGCATGCTCTCAATATAGCGTTCGAGTATCGACGATCTTCTCCCTGAAGTTACTCTGCCATGTTGCTTAGGTAAGATTAACGAAGTGATTTTTCCCTGAACAACACGTCGAGCAACACGTGTAAACGACCTCGTCTGAAACGTCGATGAAAAGTTGTAGTTTATCATTATCGTGGTAAACGAGACAAGCGCGCCTATGTACTCTACATTTTTCTTTCCTGCGCTACACTTTCCGCCTCGTATCTCAACGTGAACGAAGACGATGATGAAGAAGGGTGTTAGCCATTTGAATCGTTGCAATTATAGAGAGTCGCGCGATTCAATATCGCGAGGAACGACACTGCGACAGATATTCTAAATGCGTGTTATCGTTTGTTGGCGTACTATTTTAACGTGTTATCTTGGTCCACGTCCGCCATGGAACCGCAAACATACCCGTTCGCTCTCTCCGCGTGCAGCTTTCAGCCAAGTACGCTTGAACCCGCGACGCGCGAGTTCCGCCAGCACTGCTGTATTGGTACGCGAATGCGACAAACACACGCTTAATTCGCTCGGAACGAGTGCGATTGATATTCAGATGCAAACAGGGCAGGAGACACGAGACCGAAGCAACGTTAAATGTCGCTTTCATTAGAATTAATCGCCGTGAATTTCGTTTAATTTGAACGTAAGAGTTGATCTTTGGTGTGGAATCTCTGGTCATGGTACGGAATAACAGAGAGATTAAACGATCGTAAGTTTCGAGGTTTGAGTAAGAAGTTAAATTATGGAAATTATAGCTAATCGTAAGAATTATTTGGAATTATGGAAATTTGCCTATGGTAGAATTATTTCTTATTCGATTCTCTTCGCGTTGTGGATTTATTAGTTCCTCTTAAAATACAATTTTTAAATTGCCGATTACACATATTACTTTATAGTACTTTTGCGTCACCCTGTATTGCAACGTGCTTCTCGGAACAACGATTAAATCGTTGAACAACCGCGGTTACATCTCCCTATTTACAATAATCGTATTAAAGTTACATATCTACGACTCGAGTTTTGCGAAGCCATTACTCATTTTTCCCTTTCAAGTTTTTCCGCGGGCAAATATCGCGGGTCACCGCTGAAACTCACGTGGCCGGCAACGTGATAAAAAATCCGAATGTTAGGCTCGTTATGTCGTTACGGCAATCGTTAAACGCAACTGTAAGCGTGGCAATTGCGCCATTCTAGACGAAAGGTTACGGTCAACAGGAGATTTAAGGTGATCGAACTTGGCCAGTTGCCGAAATAATCTTTCTTTCTTAAGGTCGACGTTGACAAACGAAAAGCGCGGCATGGAATCGCGAAATCGCGCGAGGAACGCGTGTTTTCGCGCGATCGTCGCAAACTAGCGCGCGTCGTGTAGGTTCGTGCGACGAGGTACGAAGGGCCTGGCGGCGATAAAACCAGTCACGAACATTGTACGCGGGGAAAACATACGATAGCTACTTCTGCAGAATTCTGTCGTACGCGGTTGTATGGTACGCGTGTGTGTACTCGTGTGCGTGCATTACACGGAAGCACGGAACAATGCGGTGCCATTCATGGTAAAAGAAGAAGCGGTTGAATCACCCGCCCGCTCGGATTCTACAGGCTTATTCAAACGACAAGCTCCCGGAATAATCGAACGAGTCGTCCGTAGATCGCGATACGAGATTCCTCTGATCTGCCGTACTCCTCCATGCTTCGATAAATTCTCTTTCGCTTCGAACCGCCTCGCTCGTAGATTAGATAGCTCCATTTCACGGATGCTATAAGCCTGTTAGAAGATTGGTAGGTTTCCAGACGCGTAATTGCAGCCACGCAGAAGGCGTTAACCCTATGGAATCGTAACGATACCAATTCCGGAGCGAATACGAATTTATATGTAGAAACGTCAGCTTGTAATTACGGACAGGTAAGCGCGCCAATCGGAAAGCGAGAGAGAGAGCGAGAAAGAGAGAGAGAGAGAGAGAGAAAGGGCGAGAGGAAGGGGTTCTCGGTGGAATTTACAGAATTATAGCAATTTATACCGGTGGCACGCGCGCTCTCCTCGCGCCTGCATAACGATACGTGTCCGCGTCCCGACTGATTTACAACGTTGTTGAATAATTATTTAGTGAAACGTTGCTCGTGTACGCGATTTCCCCCGCGAGTACAAGCCGACGATTTCCTATTACCTATCCCGATGAAATATCGCGTCTCTGTTAGGCCCGCGAGGAAACTGCGAAATCGTGTGTATTTGCTCGGGCTCGGTAGTAATAACATTGCGGTCTATGACTGGAAGAAGGAAATAGTCTCTCGCGGACCGTGTTATAAAGTTACATGCCGATCGCTGTAACGCGATACATTGCATCGGTACGAGGAACAGTAGTTAGAGATCTTACTAAGGCGGCAAGAGGAATAAAGAAAAAAAAAAAAAAAGAAATAGAAGAAAAAAGAACAGCGTGTGGTGACGGTGAAAACGGCATTGGATCGCCTCCTTCGCCTCCGCTGATCATAAAATTGCATCGTATTCTTACTGGAAAGAATATAAGATATAGAGATTATAAATGTAAACTGCATGGGGAAGATATGATAAGTTTATTTGCGTTCACTTCCTAATTTTGTTAGCATTTGATGGCATACAAGGGTATACGTTACTGTACATAGTAGTTACATTTTAATATTCTGGCACGGCACTGTCACTGTATCTGCTGCTTTATATAAGAGAGGATGATTTAAATACGTGTTGCTCGTTGCACGAGTCATTTATTTCGTATAAAAACAGTTTTAGCAATTTGTGATTGGTTGACAAGGCATTGGACTTTAGAACTGCTCTCGTATGAAAAATAAAGAAATGTGAACCATCTTGTTTTTTCTCCGTAGTGCTCAATTAATGTATTGGTTAAAGTTAACCTGTAAAAAAGCCAGCTGCAAAGAAGCAACGAGTTTTAAGTCGATATCTCTGTTTTGATTTGTCGAATTTTTATTTGGACGATTAAAAGCCACGACACTGTCAAGCTCGATCCATTTTATAACATCGCTGTTTCATTCTTTCCATTTAAGATACCCGGCGCACGATCGTTCACCATTATCCTCTGTAAGGCCGCCGCTTTCGCCAGTTTTCGCGTTTCGTTTTCGTACTTTGTGTTTTTCAGTTTTCGTTCATTTTGCTCTTTTTCCGTTCTTTGATCTCGCAGATTTTTGATACGGCGAATTATTTTTAGATGCGTGCGGTACGCGATACACGCGAATTTGCTCAGCTTGCGTTTGCATTCCACTGATAACGACCAATCGATGATTTTAAACACGAGTTTTAATATATTTGTGGAGAACGAGAAAGATAAGCGAAACTGCCCATATTTCAGACTCAAGGTGATTTTTCCTTTTCTTTTTCTGTTTTTTTTTATTTTTTTTATTTTTTTTTTTTTTATTTTTACTAGGAGAGTTCGGTTCTCTAATTTCGCAGTGAAATTCATCCTGCTCGATAAGATTGAGATACGATGCTTGCGGTGCTATATCATATTTCCCAGCACATGTGCTTGTTCGTAGCACTGTTGCCTGGAAAATCCTTGTAATCCCCATAAATTATAATAATATAACAAACGAGACCGTGAACGTGTCTCACGTACCTTACGAACAATCGCGGATGAATGAAAATTTCTCGCGATTCGTTCCACTGTATGTCGATACATACATATGTGTATGTACATACATATAGCCGGAGCATGAATTTCACTTTGAGCAGACTTTTCGCGAAATATCAACTTTCACTTATCCTTTAACCCGTAGACACGTACCTTTACCAGTTAAGTAGAAATAATTAAATATTAGGTTGTTCGGAAAGTTTGTAGTTTTTTAATTATCGATATATTCTATATTTCGTACGATATACCTATGACGAATTTTTGCAAAATATAAAAATTCCAAGCTTACGATTAGGAATTCAAATTCTCAGTTAAGATCTCTTTAAACTTTCCTTAAATGTAAAATAAAATTCTCGCAGGTTTCACTTTTATCGTCTTTTTATTAGAGCTTGAAACATTTGAAGTCTATTAATAGACTTCGCGCCAATTTTTCCAGCTATCACCAGAGTCAATTCCAAGTACTCTATTATCGGTCAAACTGTCAATCAGCTAGACGTTTCAGCTCTTGATCTGTCCATCAGCCATTTTCATTCTATTCGTCGTCCGATGAAATCAGCTGGCAATTAATCAGGGAAAAAGTATTCGGAATGACGACCACGTCATTATATGTACTTACTACCGCTGTCCGTGCTTAATCATATTCGTCAATCTGACTCCCAGTGACTTACGCGTACACGTGTTTTAATCCAATTACAAGACACTGTTACATGCTGCCGCTGTTATCTGAGCCGTATGAGAAAGTGACATATTTACATCGTAGTTCCCTTCGTATTTGGAATTCACGCGCGCCTTGCTTTTCGTTCTTTACGTATGTACGTCACTGTTTGTACAGCTACGAGTATCGTATAAATATTGAAAATACGTGTTTTACTTTTAAAGATATGTATTTTTACACCATTTTGTCCGCTCGTAATTTAATTAAAGACAGTCAATTAAATATCAGATAAAAAGAAGTCAGCTTACTAAGAATTCTATTTATAGCTCGACACAATACATCATCGTTTTAATTTATGCCTATCGATGAGTCACATTTTATTAGCCGATATTAAACAACATAACTCACTCTAGATTGGTTCCATCTAGCTCCGACCTCCGGAAACCGCTGCAAATCTCAATCACAAGGAAACTAAACGAATCAATAACCCTACCGTAGGGTTAATCGAATTATTTTCTCGTTGCTAATATTTCTTTCCTTCTTTTACTGCATTTAAAGTAGCTATATACGTGATTTTCTCGTTATATCTCTATTATATTACAAACTTAGTAGCGCCTAATATATTGGGTTGGCAACTAAGTGATTGCGGATTTTGTCAATAGGTGGTATTGACTTATTATAATAGTAATATCGGTACGCGTAATAACCAGAATGTAGATTTGTATAACATTCGTGGAACATTTCAAGACGAAGAAGATGCATAGTGTACACACGATACGCG